CATTAAAATGACATAAAATTAGGATTCAGACCAAATATTTATGTATTATTGTAACCAAGACAAATTAAGTCATATATATGGATTTAATTATGATATTAGAAGGATCCAGGTATCAACTTTTAAAGCCAATAATTATGTCACTCACCAGCGACGCCTCAACGTGTGTTCCAGCTGATTCGTCACTCGAACTCTTGATTTTATTTATTTATTTATTTTATTTATTTATTTTTACTGTTTAACACCGTAATCAAAATGAGCAAAGCTTTGACCTGTGAGGGAGACCCCAGCTTCCTGTGATTGGATGATAATTACATCATGGCACTTCACGCTGTGTTCACGTGATTGGCAAATGCCAGTCAGGTGCTCTATTTAAGAAGCACTTGTGCCCAATTACAAGTTACTGAGCGCAGGTCTGTAAACACCAAACTGAAGGAAAGACAAATATGAACAGTGCGTTCAGCCCACTTTTTAATCCACCTGCAGCCAACATGGAGCCCAGCAGTGGACATTTTCAGCTCTGGAAGGATTATTTTCAGCTTTATGACACTATTAGGGACATCTTGAACTGGAACACGGAGCCTGGACAGGTGAGCCGCTCCGAGCCATGCACCAGAAAATATAATGTCCTGGCTCAACTTACACAATTGATGTCACGTTTGCGTAGATTTTTTTTAAAGTTATTTCAACTAAATTATTGAATAAATGCTACAAGATATGTCTAAAAAACCTAATTATTTTAGTACAGGCAACATGATTTTTCTTGTCCCATAAAAACTTAATTAAGTTGAACCAACTTAATTTTCTTTTCATTAAACTGAATCATTTTAGTAATTATAACCTATTCTTTTTGTTTGATTCTACTCTCAGAAATGTCTACGCAAATTGTTACATCAATTTTTGCATAATAACATTTATCTAAGTCAGAATAAATTACATGTTCAAATTCCAGCTTAGTGGTTAAAACTGTTTTATTTTGACATAACAGCACATTGATATTTTATTAGACACAAAATCGTAAACTTTTTATAAAAGAAATGGCATAAAACGGTCTCAAAAAGACCTAACATTGTGACATTAATACTGACGTTTGTGAACGCTTTGCATTACAAAGTGCATTATTTTGAATTCTGTGTATTTAATGAAATCTCAACAGTCTACTTGTCCTGTAGTAGACTGAAACTGTCATAATTAGAAATAAAAGCATAAATTCATATAATAATAATAATAATACACTTAAAATGCACCATATTAATTAAAGAACGTTACCTCATGATTTATAATTTAACTGACTTCAAATATATTTTTTCAGCTTAGTTCCAAAAATATGTATTTAGTACATAATTTACATTTTACTGTAAAAAACGTGTGTGTATGTTTGTATGTGTATGTATTATGTTTGTGTGTGTGTATTATGTTTGTGTGTGTGTGTATTATGTTTGTGTGTGTGTGTGTATTATGTTTGTGTGTGTGTGTGTATTATGTTTGTGTGTGTGTGTGTATTATGTTTGTGTGTGTGTGTGTGTATTATGTTTGTGTGTATTATGTTTGTGTGTGTGTGTGTGTATTATGTTTGTGTGTATTATGTTTGTGTGTGTGTGTGTGTATTATGTTTGTG